CCCACTCACTCACCGATCAGCTTCACCCTGCCCGACGTGATCAGGCTAGGGTCGTCTTTCTTCACGTTCTTTATCGAATCCTCCACCAGCTCCTTGATGTGATCGATTCCTATCACCTTCCCTTTGGGCCCCACCTGCAGAAGCGGCGCCGGCCGAGAGTTACATAAAACGTGCCGCGCCTATCCCGCCTACCCCGCCTCCCCCTGCGGCCAGGCCCGCGGCGCTGCACCTCGGAGACGACCCGTCGGGGGCCCGGCTTACCATGCGGGCGAAGCAGACGGAGAGGATCCCGCTTCCCGATCCCACGTCCAGAGCTTTCGCCCCCTCATGCAGCTGCTCGTGCAGGAGCTCCAAGGCATAAGCGTGCTGGAAGAGACGTGAGGCGACAGGCCGGGGACCCCCGTGCATTAATAACCTAAACAACAATATTATATACCTCCCTATTAGCACAAAACTCTGATCAGGTGATAAAAATCAATTTAAAAGCTTTCCTTATTTTTTCTTTTCCCACTTCATTATTGTCTGCTCTTCACTGTCATTAAGGACCATTAATTACAAAAAATGTAAGCCTTTTATGCTGTAAGGCATCTTGTACTCATGGTACGGGGAGGCTGATCCCAGGTAATTACTGACCTAAAAGCAGTGAGCGTGTTAGCATGTGTACCGGGAAGGCGCGTTAGGATTACCATGTGCGGCGCACTGATAGTGGCTTGATAACCTGGTGATGAAGAGAAGAAAGCAGACGATTACCGGCACGCACACGTCGGCACGCACACGCCGGCACGCACACGTCGGCACGCACACGTCGGCACGCACACGCCGGCACGGCGTAGCCGAGCGCGAGCGGACAGCGGCCTCCGCGGCTCACCTATTGACTGGGGGGAGTCCATGTATGGGTTGCATCTGGAGAAGTGCGCCCGGTCTGTGGCAAGCATGACCTCGTAAACATTGTCCGACTTGATGATGCCATTTTCTGAGGAGAGAGACGAGACGTCATTAAGCGTGACTGGGCGGGAATCGTCCACCTGTCTCTGCATTGGCAAAAATCAGAATTTAACCAAAAAAAAACAAATTTTCTTGAAAACGACCCTCGGAATTTGCTACGATATTGATCCCTGCGTCTGAGTCATGGCAAATTGCCACTGTTTTACAGCTCGTTGTGCGACTGCAGAGGTTGTTACCGTTCATCATAAGAACATTCAGTCCATACAAAACAGTTAAGAGTTATAATGATTAAATTCAATGCAGCAAAGGTGGTGAGTCAACCTATACTGAAATTGCTCTACCATATAATTAAACTTTCTACGTTCAGATAAATAGCACTGCTGTATTACTGCATTATGCATTACACTGAACTGGCAACACAAACAGACCGCAGACTTTAATGGAAACATGACACCAATTACTAGTGAATTAGAAAACTGCTTTTTGTGATGCATCAGAGGAAGCTTTTGATTTACATTTTTGCTTAAATTTATTGGCCAAATATTACACATTAAGCTTCCCAGATGACTAATGGACATTATTTAAAGGAAATATTATCTGAACGATGCTTCAAGCCGCAATTGAGAGCAATTGCTGAAAGACTGGATTCTGTCACTTGCACATTTACAAAAAAAAAAAAACTGCATTAAAATTTAGCCAAATTATATTAAGATGCGATGTTTTTTTTTTTTTTTTTTTAAAGAAAAAAAAGCCACAATTTGTTCATAATGGGCTCAAGGCTGTTTGGACCACAGCAAATACCGGTGCTACTTCTTCATCAGTCTGAATGGACCCTGATCACATTCAGTACAGCACCGTCATTACAAGCATTAAACTGCATTTACACACAGTTTACCAACAGGACCTTGGGAGGTTCCAGTGTCACTTCCAGCGATCCAACTGCCGGAAAAACGTCCAACTGCGCCCGCATACCATGCTTTAAATCCAATGCGAAGAAATCCATGCATTCATCACTCCGTATTATTAGTGTTTTACAGCCCCCCCTCTAAGGCCAATAAAAACACCCTCCCCCAGTAAAAGAAGATATCAAAGAAAAAAGAAAAAACAGACCCCGGACTGTAGATCTGCATCAAAACCCAGCCTGTTTCTCTGGCTCTAAAATTAACTCAAAAAAGTAATGATTCACCAACTAACGCAGCAAACCAAGCTGTCACTAGTGTGCAGCTTCCTCGACAATTTATCCACGATACTGAGGCAAGTTTGTTAAATTTAACACAATTAACAATCATAATAAATAAATAAAAAAATCTCTGATGCCAATTCCAGCAACCTATTTTAACTGGCCAAGAACGACAACCCCCTTTTGCATATTTTAATAGGTGGCCTCCATCTGGGGGGCCAAGCACCCCCCGTCATAAAACCATCTCTGCAGTGACACAGTTTACACGGCATTTATTGGAGCAAACCTCTGACAAAGGTCCTTGAGTCGACATAAACCGGCGAGGGGAGTCCGCCATCGCCCGTCACTCCTGCCTTACCGCCATCTGCGTGCCCTTTCTCTGCATCCCACACCATCATGCACCGTAACCCCACCTTTTACCATTCCCAGCCCTCGGCGCTCAGTACACTCTTGTATCCGTCTTCCAAAACACACACAAGCCCCTCCCTGGCCACTCCAGGGGTCAGCAGCAGGCACCTATATGCACACTGCTTTACTGCGGATATAAAAATAGCCTGCTGTGGACAGGAGGGAGGCCAAACGGCACTGGGCAGACGCTCGGGGTGTGAGTTACTGGGCCTTGCTGAAGCGATTATGGATGTCTCCCTACTGCCTTCTGCTGCCACAGACTGTCAGAGCAGCAGGCAGGGACGGGCAAACCAGGGCACGGCAGGGCCAGGGAGACTCAGCTCGAATGTCTCGGAGAGAACAGGGCTCCAATACCCCAGGCGACTTAGAAAAACAATGGGCTTCTCACTGCACCAATAAGGCCCCTTAAGATCAACTCATAGCCCTGACTTATACTGAGCCAACGCAGAGTCAGCTTGCAGAACCGAGTTCGGGTCAGGATCTGTATCGAATTACCCTACAAAGCACCTTTTTTTTGGGGGGGGGTCAGCAGCTAAACCGAGATATACTACACATTTAATTTCTAAAGGTAATATTTTACATTGTGCATTCACTTTCGGTCATTTTAATTCGATTCTGAAATAATATTACCATGACAAATTGCAGTGCAAAGTTACACTCCAAAAAAAAAAAAAGGACAGCAAATCAATTTCAATGATTTTAATGAAAACCCGCTTTTATAATAAGCGAGAAGACGCGGTTACGCGACGCCTTTCTCAACCCGAGAAGCTGCCCGACCCCGAACAGACTTTCACCGTCTTCCATGTCCAGTTTTTAAAGTCCCCCCGCCCCGTTGTTTGCGCCTTGTGCTTGAATGCCTTTAGTAAGCCAACGCCAGTGGGGCACCGGGGCTCCGCGCTGCGAGGCCGCCGCCCCCCGCCCCCCGCCCTCAGCCGTCCGGAGCGGCACAATAACAGCGCAGGGAGCCGGGCGCCAGTGCGCAGGCGCGCCGGGGATCCGCCGGAGTAGGCGGCGGTCGCACACTAGCTGTTTTACTGCGTTTCCACCAAGCCGTTCACTTACCTATGTCTGGGTGGAAAGCGAAACACAATGCTGACGAGCTGACTAGAATGAATTCGGGCCGGCCAGTCCAGAGGGGGGGAAACCGGCCATAAAATGTGCTACAGGTCAAACATGCCAGTCGGCGCCTGACCAGCGGGCTGCCAGACAGCCAGACGGTGTCGATCTACTAGATCAAGTCAAATACCAGATTGATCAAACTGTCACAGGGAGGGGGGCAGGTACGACACGTCGGCCCATTAACAACCGGATCGCACCCGAGTTACGCAAAACCTTAAAAAAAATGACGGCATATAAAAAACGGAAGCAAATATCAAATCTAAGGAATCTGAATCCGTTGGTGCTTTGGTTAAGCAGCGCCGTCGGTAGCTTGATTACTTTGCATGCGTACGTGTGGCTTCTTAAACATCGCATTTTTACGCTACGTCATTAACGTTAAAATATAGCACGGAGGCAGTATGTAGCTGGCAGACGCTGTACTCCTAGAAAAGATCCAATCAGACCTCCCTGTTTGCTCAGCACTAACTTAGAAACACACTCGGCATGGACACAACACTGCAGGTTTCTTAGCAAGGCTGGCAACCCGAAAGGCAAGCTAACTAACTGGAGCTCATATTTATGTATCTGACATCGGTTGCCTTTGCAATGCCCTAGACCTCAAAAAAGAAACGTTAAAGCAGAAAAGGCTTTGCACTCGAGGGGCAAAAATCAACAGCTTGGGAGAAAAGATTCGGGAGAGAGGTAAAAAACTTACTGCGGAGGTTGTTGACGAGCTCGGCGTGGCTAGCTCCTCCCGATTTCCAGGCCATCATTAAACACACTCTGCGGATCAAGTAGAGAGCGGCTGTCAGTGCCGCGCCTGCGCACACCGCCTTGCCCACGACGCTGACGACTTCCAGCACATCAGGGGGAGACACGTCACTCGACATCGTTGTTCCGCCGCGCTGCTTTTTCCCGCGCTATATTACAGCCGACTACGCTGTAATTTGCCGTCGCGGTAGCATAATACATAGAAAATAGTATAGTGAAGCACACACCTTAATTTCATATATCTGACCAGTGGGCCGGCGAATTATTTGCATGCGCATATAGCTGCGTGTGATTACCATTAAAGATTTGCTAAGTATCAGCTCTGACGATGCCTTCCACTAGACGGAGAGCTTGAGTTGTTGGCGTGGTCACATGATCAGATTATAAATATATATTTTAAATTAGAGCCCTGCAGACCACACACAATCCAGTTGACTCAAAATATTTCAGCAGTTTTAAAACTTTGTTTGTTGTTATATAGTAAGGATGCAACCGTGTTTTGCTTAATGCAATATATCACGTAATACAACGTTTATTAAAATTATACTTATATACTGTATCTTGGGAACGTACTTTATTATGCCATCAAGTATACACATTTTGGAACTCTATGATCACCAATTATCAGATTATCACTAAAATCAAAGAAGAATCGCATTCAATTATAGTAAGTACATTTTATTTCGACGTCAGCACCCAAAATGTTACTAGCAAAATGTCGAACCCTGTCAAACTGTGTTTATAATTCGTGCCAGAATTAGGCGATCTGTTTGTCCATTTTCGGCTGCCGTCTGTGGAGCACCAATGAATGGAAGCCATTCAGCGGATGAGGCGGGGCTCTGGGAGTTCAGGGAAATAGAAAAGTGTGATTGTGTTGCTTACCTGCCGTTAGCTAACCATTAATCTGAAGAAATATAGGTCTTAATGGAGTGCATCAACGCAAAATTTGTCTCACAGAAGATAAGCAAGATACGATGGAGGCCCGTCTCATCTTCCACCCTACAGCAACCAGATATATTTGCTACGGGATCTTGGGACAACGAGGTATTAAGCTAGCTAGTCATAACTCAAAGTTTACCGGGTTTCTCATGTATGTATGTCTAACAGTTAGGTGCCCTGTCGTCAGACTTTTCTTGTGCTGTGTTGCGTATTTCGACACTTTTAGGACAACAAAGTTTCCCTCTGGTCGGTTGGAGAGCATGGCTTCTCGAAAATGGATGATGATTTCGAAGGGGACCCTCAGCTTCTCTGTGAGTACCAACACAACGGGGATGTCCTCGGCCTTCAGGTAGGTCCCACGCCTCATTCTTCTTCACTCTTCTTTACGAATACTGATGGGATGTAACGTGGAACGAAATATGTATATGAATATTTTTTTTTAATTTATTTATAGGGCGTCCGGGTTGTACATCTATCAAAAAAATACATAAATGAGTAAAATAAATATGCGTTATACACGAGGATGGTTGGGGGATCGAGTCTCCCCTCCTCTTTGTCATGGAATTCGCATGTTCTTCCCTCCTGTGTGTTTTGCCTCCTTGTACCCCAGATTCATCTCGCAGTCTATACTGTCAGGCTAATTTGTGTCTCTAAATTACCTATAGAGTTTATTTGTGTTTGTGCGAATTTGTCCTAAAATAGACTGGCATCCCGTCCAGGGAGTAACCACAACCTTCTGCCCTATGATGCTTTGGAACATGGTGCCCCGACATCCCATCCCACATATGTGTTCCTTTGTGCATTCCCACAAACTGTTATACTTACAGTAAATTGTGCTAATACCTTGCCATCCCAAATTATTCTTAGTTCTTGGACCAGGAGAGGATTGTTGCAGGTTCGTCTACTGGATCAGTCACCATTTTTCGTTACCATCAGAATAGCCAGGCAAGTTCTGTATGGTTCTTTTCACGTTTCCTTGGCTGTATTTTATAAAGCAGTTTATATTCAGTTTCAAGAAGAATCTGCTTTGGCACCATACAATGTCAGATATCTAATGTGTGCTTCCAAGTATTTTAACTGTTTACAGGAGATACTGTAAGTTTGCCCTGAACATCAGTATAGTGGGTTAGTTTGCTAGTGCAATAACATGATGCTTAATATGGATAATTTCTAGGACATTAATGAATGTGACATTGCTTTTGTCCCCCCTCAGACACTCTCTGTGGCACAGCACTGGGACAGAGCACACCACTACCCTTGTGACAGTGCACCTTGCACAGGGGTGGTGTGCAACAGTCCAGAAATCGTAACAGTAGGGGAAGATGGAAGGGTCATCCTCTTCAGAGTGGACCACAAAGGCATTCTGCGTACTATAGGTGTGTCACAGAATCCAAAGTGAGAGCAGTGAAATTGCCCTCTATGCCTACCTCACCTGTATTCATGTTTCATTCTTTTCATCAGTCCATCCATCTGTTTATTCCCAGTAATAGTTGTTGGGTCGCTGGCTTTCCCTTTATAGATAATGCCGACAGCAGCACAATTCATGCCGTGACCTTCCTGAGAACCACGGAAGTCCTGACCGTCAACTCTTTTGGCCAGCTGAAACTCTGGGACTTCCGTCAACAGGGAAATGAACCTGCCCAAATTCTGTCCCTGTGAGTCGGGCAGGTTCAGGTTTACCATGCTTTAAATTTAGGAGTCTGTGGAATTTTAAGTTATTCTTGGATATTGCTGTCACCAAAGTTAAGAGTAATTCATTTTGGGTTTTTTTTTTTTTTGTCACATAGATCTGGGGATAGAGTTCCTCTGCACTGCGTGGACAGACACCCCAACCAGCAACACATTGTGGCCACAGGGGGGCAGGATGGGATGCTGTGTATCTGGGACGTAAGGCAGGACAGCATGCCGTTCTCACTGATGAAGGCGCATTCTGCTGAAAGTGAGGCCACTTCTGTTACATTACTGAAGAAAAAATTATCTCCAAACTGCTGAGACTTCCTTGCAATTTTTTTGAAAATTATACCCCTTTGTTCCATCTAGTGTGGGAAGTGCATTTTCACCCATCAAACCCAGACCACTTGTTTACATGCTCAGAAGATGGCTCTCTATTGCACTGGGAAAACTCCACTAACTCTGATACGCCATCATTTTTACAAGGTAGGTTGTGAGGAGTGATAATTGAGTGGGTAACCTTTTGTTTCAGTTGGCATTCATGCAGAGTGTTCCCTGAAATAGCCATGAAATGATTTGTGACTCATATTTTCTCTACAAAGGTGGACGAAACACGAGCATCATGTCTCGCAGCACAGTTGTGCCTGTAGGAGGAAACCAGTCGCTGACCAGTTCTTGGCTTGGGGGAGATTCCAGTAAGGTTCACCTGGAAGCCACACACATGCTGCCCACCCAGACTCTGCCTGTTAACAGTCTGGATGTGCTTGGCCAGTGTCTTGTGTGTGGAACCGATGGAGAGGCCATTTATGTGAACAAACGGGTCCCAGTCTAGTGTGGAGGCCATCGCACGTTGTTGCAATAAACTGCAGTGGACATTTCAACTCAATCTTTAAACCTTTCCATTCATTAAACTATTTTGGTTATTGTAGATATTTTGCATTTTTTGAACTCTTGAGTATTGTACAAATGTCATTTTGCATGTGAATTTAATAATAATAATAATTGATACTTTATTGATCCCCGTGGGGAAATTGTTTTTATGCCTCCCTCAACTTGCTCTTTTGAAGAGTAAGTTGTCCTCCGCAAAGGGCAGCCACCTGTTGGGGCACCCAGGGAGCTGGGGGTTAAGGGCCTTGCTCAAGGACCCACTGACAGGCTGAGGCTGGGTTTGAACCGGCGACCTTGTGATTACAGGTACACAGGCTTAGCCCACTGAGCCACATGCTTTATAATTATATTATAATTTATATTTAATATTAATACTTTAATATTACTTGTCATAAGATAAAAGCTTGTATTGCAGTTTTGTCAAAAGTGAGGCTTGGGTTTCAAGAATCTTAAAGGCTCAGAATAAATGCAAAAACTTTAAATGCTCTCATCAAATTTCTGCTTGCCCTTTAAGGTTTCTGTACATTCCACACTTTGCTTTTATACCAGCATTTTACATTAAATGTTAATTTCAGTATTGCACTTAATGAAGTGCCACTTGGAACAAATTCAGGCTTTTTAGTCTTACAGCTGTTTACCCAAACCACTCAAATGGCTCACTTATCCAAATTATTGAAAATAGATAACACTGAGGGCAAAATGGAGCATTTTGTGAAAAACTTAAGTTTAAATAATTTGCGAACCTAGACATTAACACAGATGCAAGCTGTTCATATCAATTAAAAGAAAAATTGATATCTTGAATAGAAAATGATATTGACTGCTCATAGTTGAACATCTTAAGCAGACAGCACAAAACAGTGAAGACATTTAGTATTTATAAGTGCCAAGGAAAATAATTCTGTGATGTAAACTATACAAGTGCCTAGTGAACTGCTGTACAACACATGCTTAGAAAAAAAAGATAAAATATAAATATGTACACTGTAAATATTCATCTGCTGCCAGAGTTGACCAGATGGATAGCATTACCATTTTCACATACTTACACTGAATGCCCTGGAATTCAGTATTGAGTAGAGAGCTGTCTGATGGGCTCTGGTTGTAAATGAAAAAATGTAACCTACTTTGCTGAACGTCCTGGAAGCCGTGCTATTTAAAAGGCGGTATCAGCGTAGTCTGACAATGCCCGTAATACTGGCGTGCAGTGACTACATACCACTTTATCCTATAGACGAGAACTATTCACATATTTTTCATATTTCTCATATCCGTGGTGCACGACGCGTCTGTCAGCCGAGCGGTTGAAATGTTCCCGGGAGACCGAGGGCTTAAGGGAAGTAACCAATCAGGGCGCCGGTGTTGCTGGCGTGCCTCCCGCGAGTCTGCCCGCGAGCCTGCCCGCCTGGCTTCCTCTAACGCCAACCTACACCGACCTCAGCCGAGTACCCGTGCGCTACTCAGGTTAGCAACGAAGCCTGCGGGAGACGAAGAAAACTGCCCCCCGGTGAAATAACGCTCGTCGTCCGGCATAATTAACCCGGAGCCACCACGTCGTCCCTCCGACTGACAGAAATGAGACGGGAAGCCGAGCCGCGGTGAGTTCTTTGTGAGCCTTCCGCCAGGCAGCCGGCTGTGGAGGTGGCTGGGGGGGCCGCAGGCCGCGCCGCCTCGGCCCTGCGTTATAGGTACCTCCGGGCTCGGGTGGGGGGCGGAGGAGGTGCGCGGCGGCTCAGACACCCTGAGGAGAGTTACTGAGCATCAGCGTTGGGCAGTGGGAAGAAACCAAGCGCCAGCTATCCGTGACTTGTCCCGATCAGCGACACTGAGGGGAATCCGGAGCCCGCATCGGGGTGTCGGAGAGCCGCAGCTGTGAAGCTCGCAAAGCTTAAGACGGCGGAGGCCGGGGACAAAATGGAGAAGCTCGGCGCCGTCCTTACTGGCTAGTGCCCTTTATCCAGACATAAACCTGATCAAAGCGCGGTTGTGCTTTTGTTCTTCATAAAACACTTTACTGGATTTCCTTTAATTCGATGGCGTATTTTGTGCTTTTAAAGTCGTTTGTTTTATCAGCGCTGTCACATGTAGCAGATATTACCTTCGCTAGCCGCCGATGCTAGCTAACGTTACAGCGTTGATGTGCGAACTTGAGTCGGTCTTTCGTGGACAGATGTCGCTCGGAAACGGTGCTGCTTTCGCCGTCTTCGTTTAATAATTCCGCTAATCTGCTTAACGATTAACGCAGCTGTCATATCGGGATTGTTCGGGTAATTAAAAAGCGACAAAATGCCTCATGATTTCTTGACGTCTTATTAAAAAAAAATCTAGATCCTAAATCTCCAGTTTGGGTGAAAAGATGAAGCATATTTCCGTACTGTTCTGTGAAATGTTGACATTTTAAAGTCGTTATAAACTACAATCGAAACATCTTATCGTTACAATTAAATATTGATTTAGTATAAAAACACTGAATGTACAGACAGACATACATCCCAAAAAAATGCATAATGGTTTCGTACTCATAAAAGCCTTGCAAAAGCTGTCAGCATTTGACGTGTATGTACCAATCATACTGGTCCCCAAATATCAGTTGATGAATGGCCTAGTTAATCCTGTGCCTATATGAATAAGTTTCATATGGATTCATGTTGAATAACTTATTAAAAATAAATGTTAGAGTTTTTATGTGTCCTTTTGTGCACTCAGATTATAGGCTTGCCCTCCGACACTCCGATGTGAAGAGAGAGACTTTGTGAGTGTGAGCAGCCCTCCACCTCATCCCAGCCACGGCCCGGCTGCTGAGTCCACGGCCCCCCCATTCAGTCTCGCCTGCCCCCACATACATGTTCTTACATGAAGAGAGGGGAGAAGTCCGAAAGATACCGGCAGATGCGACCCAAGACCTTCCCCGCGACCAACTACAGCGGCAGCAGCCAGCAGATGCTGCAGGAGATCCGAGAGAGTCTGAGGAACCTCTCGCGACCTTCCGATGCGGCCAAGGTGGAGCTCTGCACCGGGAAGGCCGTGCCGGAAGACACACGGCAGCCGGGGCGTGGGAACAACCACAAAAGCTCCTACCACAAGGCCCTGCAGGAGATCCGCAAATCTTTGTTACCGTTTGCCAACGAGCCCAGTTCCTCTAGCTCGGGCACTGAAGTCAACAGGCAGATGTTGGTGGAGCTGGTGACAGCCGGATTTGAAGAGGTGAAGCCTGACTTTGGTGGCTTAGCTTTTCAAGCAGTTAGGATTTTTTTTTTTTTGCTAATTATAGTTTATCAGTCAGAGATGGTTCAGTTACTCTAAAAATTCCATGTTTCCCAAACTGATTATGTAAACAATGACTTCAGCATGGAAATGTCAGTTATGTTTCACAATAAGAGCTGGTATGCAACATGGAGAAAGGACAGAATTAAGTCTAATTGCATTTCTTTTTTTAGTGTTAAATTTTTTTGTGTGTTGATGCCTGACATCACACCTGTAGAGAAATATTTAGGTAAAATGTTGTGGTATTATTTACTGTTTTAACTGACTAAATTGCTAATGGCTATGGGGAAAAGAGGAGATGCTTTAGCTGCGGTCACGCCTTGTTTTTTTCCCCAAAGTGAAATTGATATGAAAAGTATGGTATGTGGAATGACTGCTTTTGGAATTGTCACTATGCTCAGGATGTCATTCTCACATGCTGGGGATGTTTTTGACTACAGTGATGAAGTTTATGTCTTTAAGTTTATGGCATTAATCAATACAGTTAAGTAACTGCTTTTGCATAATCTTTATCCCAGATTTTTCATACATGAAAACTTTGTTAGGACCTGTGTTCATGTGCCAAGAAAAGACAGCCCTGTTGACGACTCCTATTACAGTTACATTACTTGTATTTGTGTGTGTAACTATGGGCAAGGCAGCTAAACAGTAACAGCATGCTTCGTGCATATCACAGGTGCCTAACATGCTTAATGAAGCTGCTGAGGAATGAGTGAATCCCAACTGATTTCCCTCATCAGAACAAAGGCCAGCTACTGAAGAGCCTTTTCCTCTTCCGAAATAGAATGGGGGGGAAAGTGAATTTAAACTTCAAAAATTAAAATATGAATTGGCAACAATTCACATGGTTAATCGTTAGTGGGCAATGGTTTCATCATCAGTGTTGGGATCGTTCAGTGACTTTGCTAATGTCAGCGTGGGTCTCTGTTCTCTCTGGTAACGTTTCACGCTCCTGTGCAGGATATGGTGATCTGGGCCCTGAAGCAGACTGGCAATCGCAGTGTTGAGGCAGCTATCGAGTACATCAGCAAGATGAGTTACCAGGACCCCTGGAGGGAGCAGATGGTGGCGGCAGCTGCACGCCCTGTCAACGCCGGCATGAAGGTTCCTGGTAGGTGCCACACGTGGCACCACTGCCCTCCTAGGAAGCCAGTTCGGGGAACATGCAGGGTCCCCCTGACACACACAGTGGAAGTGCGCCATCTTGGTGCCAGAGTTATAGTCTCGTTTTTTGGGGGCTGTTTTTCCCCTTGCCTGTGTATGGCCCTTACATATAGGCTGCATTTTAAATAAGTATGTGTGTGTGTTTGCCCTCTCTCTATAACAGAGGATTTCATTTTCTAACCTCTAATTTACGGTTGTGGCCTTTATTGCTCAGTGACGGACTTGTCTCCTGTGTTTTGTTTAGCTACGGCTCACATGCAGCAGCAGGTGAACCGGAAGCAGAGCTGGAAGGGTTCAAAAGAGTCTCTGGTCCCTCAGAGACACGGCCCTCTACTGGTGGATGGGGTGATGTACCCCGCTGAGAGTCCGGCACCCCAGGGGGACATGTCAGGCCGTCAGCCCCCAGCTTTTGCACCGGGTCACCCTGGCAATGGCCAGCGTGTAAACCCATCCCTGCCTCCCCAGGTGCGCAGTGTGACGCCTCCGCCGAACAGAGGCACCACGCCACCCCCCCCCTCTTGGGAGGCCAGTTCCTCTAATAAGCGTTTCTCCGGGAACTTGGAATACCTGGTTCCCCGCATCTCCCCCGTCCCGCAGAGCGGCTGGCCCGAG